CCCTCCCCCAATCAATGCATCCCAGTCAAAGCTGCTCTACCCACAAGGCATTCATACTGGGGCTGGACTGCTCCCCACACACCCATGCACCTGGATTGTGGCTGCTCCACCACAGAGCACTGAACTTCCCAAGTCCCAAACCCACAGATTTATCATCATAAATGTAGTCATAATACCCTCTCCTGGAGCCTCCAGCCTTACCCCCTGGGAAGACAGTGCACCCCACCAAAGCCAGATCAGCCCCCTGCAACAGATCCAGCCCACAGGCAAACCTGGCACCCAAGGGGCAAATTACAGGGGAGCCCCTCCCCCCCATAAGAGACAAGATTTGAAAGTTGTAATTTGGGCAGTCTCTGATCCAATTGCTCCTTCCAATGAACCGGTTTAATTATTTTGGCAGACCCACCCGCAAAGTCAAAGTGCAATTTGAACCCTGCCGGCATCACCTATTCAGCCTATTGTGTGAAGAAACTGGGAACCACCACCCTGCAGTGCAAACGCTGTGCAACCTGACAGCACAGGCCAGCCCGAGCACCAAGCCACGGGCTTCACAGTGCTCACAGGTAAATGCGACCCAGGCACTGAACAAGGCGGCCTAGAGCCAGCCCAGCGCCGGGTGAGGCTTCCGAGCCCCACCTCTCCACCGAGCCCCCTCCAGCCCGAGTCCCACCGAGGGTCCGCGGCTAGACCCGTCCCGCACCTTGCTCTGTGCCTGCTCGGGGCCCAGCGCCATGGTGGTACTCATGACGAAAAGACGCCACTACCCGCCGTGCTCTCCCAGCCACCGCCCCCGCCGCCTTCATATAGCCCGGGCGCGAGCCCCGCCCCGCCTCCCGGCAGCCCCCGCGCCCGGCGCCATTTTGGCCCGCAGGCACCCCGGCACCAAAGGAAAGCCTTCGGGAAGCCATCTTAGAGCCGGGCGGGAGGATTATGCGAAGGCACGAAAGCGAGGCGCCAGGAAAGGCCTTACCCTCACTTAAGATGGCGGGGGTATTAAAGCAAGAACCCATTCCCTCGCTGCTTTGCGTATGACGTAATCCCCGCCGCCACCAATCCCTGTTCTGCGCGGCGCCCCAAGGGCATGGCGGGACTTCTAGTCCGCAGCGGG